GTATTTGTAACATATAAATAGTACTAAATTATAGAACTCAATATAATAATTACCTTTGCCTTCCATTAGCAATTCTTGCCCATGGGAGCCAACAAGGGTTTTCGACAAAAACGGAGCAAAGTCCACCATTATTTCACGTAAAAGTGGGCACACAGAACCCAGGGCTGCTTCTAATTTGTGTGTAAGAGATGCCTCTCTGTTGGGCAAATGCGTCTGATGAGGCAAGTTGACATTTTTTAAGCCAAAGTCTTCAACGTTATGTCCAGGATTTTGCAAGTTCACATTTTGTGTATTTGATGTCGGAACATTGACCACAGATATTTCACTGAGCGGTTTATCTCCACGTATATCTGTAAATAAGCACAGAAACAAAATTCTTTAATGAATAAATATTGAAATGTTAGATCTGATAAGTAGTTAAATTGAAATCATATAAAACATGGCAAATATACCAGTTTTTACTAGCATAATTAATCAGTATTTCTTCATAAAAATAAATTGTACAGAGCACCGAATAGATAAAAAATTATAAATGCATCTTTTTTTTTTTATAGAAAATATTAATTAAATTCCAATTGAATTAGTGTGGTTGCTCTCACTATTAATTATTAATGCAATTAATTTKTACATTGTATAATACATATGTACCTATAATATCTATACTATATATACATTACATAGCTTGTAGGTATATTAGCAATCAATATTATTCTATCTAACCTCTATGTACTCTTCCATCATCTTCGTTGTTAGATTGAGAGTCCTCGTTAAGATTTACATCGGTCCAKGCTTCTTCATTATGAGCAGATGTTATGGTACTAGCTTTGACATCAGTATCATTACTTTCAGCATCACTGCAAGCAGCTGAGCTTGTAGATGCTAATTCTTCAGAGCATGTACTCTAAACAAGCATTAATGAAATTTATAATTATTAGGTATTATTAATTTATGTATTTTACAATAGTAAAATTGTATTATTCCGAAGACCTGAATGACCAGTTAAACAAAATTAACATAAGCATAAGTGCGCTCAACTAACTAAAATATTAACAACACGTTAATGCGTTAATCAACAGTGTTAAGTACCTATAATAATATGTATAATACAATAAAATTATCATTTGTTGCTTTTGTGCATATTAATACCAAATTGTTGTGTTACAAAAAACAGTGTATTATGGGTTGGCGCTCTAAGCCAGTACCTTTTTTGGAGCCAATACAGTTTTGTTATTTAAGACATTATGGCGATAGCGTAAGTTATAATTGTTGAACGATGTTACTGGTGGTACTCTGAGCAGTTGCTACACAAATGAACATAAAACAACACAGTAGAACAATATCCCACATTCTTGACAACAATTAAGATGCATTTGATAAACATTTTATTTTATAACCAATAAGTACAAATACAAAACATAGTCCCTAGGTAAATATATGTGCTTTTTTTAAATTATTTAAAATAATTTAAAATACGTGGAAACATTATGATTCAAAAAAATATTTTACGAAACAAAAATATATAAGCACTAAGAGTTAGTAGAAAATTATAGTAAACAAAAATAATAACMACTAATCTGTCAATTTTGTGAAAAATGAATAACATTCACAACAGATTTAATGCTTTAAATTGAATAACGCAAATATTGAATAACATTTCGTTCCAATAAAATTGGTTGAACAGGTACTACAAAATATGTAATAGAGTATACTCTTCGAACTAAGAGCATAGAAATTCCATAGTTAACCAGTTAATGGCAATGAAAAATAATAATGAAAATTAATTTACCTTATTGCACGGGATATTTGGCACTTGTGAAGTATGATTTAAATTGTCCATTGATGTCATCATCATATTATATTCTTCCTCATCTGCTGAAACAAATTTGTATGATGTTCAAAATATAACATACATTTTCAAGTATATTGTAATTGGCATGCCATCTATTTCTAATGCCAGTTAAACAAACCAAACGAACTGAATTTTTTAATCAATTGGACATTTTGAGAAATTAAACACGCATACTACCCTACTGTAAAAATGTAAATTGATTCCATGCATGTCAAACACAACTAGTAGTTAAATAAATATGTAACATAAATATTCTATTACGAATTTCATTGAATAATCAATAAAATTGAAAATATAAGTTTATTTAKTCATTTTATTAAAATTAAAGTCATTAAACTGAACATAGAAATTAATATGAAATAATATGATATTTTATTAGAAAAATGCTATGTAATTTAATATTAACAGGATTAAAATATTTGGTTTCCTTAAGTATAATAAAAGAGTAATTATGTAGTTATTTTTTTTAAATACTAAATATAAATTTCCTTTAATGTGTTTAGTATAAAATAAAATAAAATAAAAATATATTATTTTTCACTACATTTTTAATAGTGTAATGCATATAGATTATACAACATACACATTACACATCATACTAAATTTAAATGTTATAAGATTAAATCAATATTTTTAAATTCTGTATTTGACATTAGTAAATATTTACAATTTCATACATTTTGGAAATATTATCTATAAATAACAATATTTTAGGCACCAATAAAAATTTAACTGTGGGGCAGTGAGCCAAATTAATGAATGAAGGTAAATACTAGCTACACTAAAAATAAATAAAAAATTGAGCGTGGAGCTTTCTATTTTTTTTTTTTCATTTACAAGCGTAACACAGTGCTATCTAAGGCCAAATAAAAAATTGGACAAGGATTAAAAAAAAAAAAACATTTGGTAGAACATAATCTGACCTTGTTGTCCTAACGAGGGCGCAGCGTAATGTGACATAATGTTGCGGTGGCCGAAGTTATGGGGCATTTGTGGATCTATCGAGTGAGATGGAGGTAGGAATTGAGGATAGACATGATGGGACCATTGAGGAAACAACGGTCTTGTACCATGACAATCTGGGCACAATAAGAATTCAATTAAAATTCCAGTTCAAATCAATGGGACACAACATTTAAGTGCCACTAAACTATTCTTAATGGTGTGTGAAAGGTTACGAAATAAAATTAATATTATGATTAATTATTGGTAAAATGTATTACTTGGCGGACTTTCTGATCGGGTTTGATTATTGTTTGGTTGAGCGTTCCCRTGTATTTGTAACATTGCTGTAGGTGGTTCCAATATGTCTCTATACTTGGATACCATCAGCACAGACACAAAATAAACAATAGCCAATGATAGAAATTGTGCTTGCTTGGTTTCCTCCTAATTTCAAAAATAAAATGTTCAATTAACTATATAATAAGACATTATAGAAGCTTTTACCACATCTCTGTAAATAACTGCACGCAAACGATTAATATCCATTTCTTGTAATAGCTTTTCTGGATCACGTATAGGATTTGTGGAACCATCAATTAAACTCTGAAACATTAACATATTCAAATCTCAGTAATTTCATCATGATGGTAMTTACCTTAGGTGATGATTGACCAGCTCGTATAAGTGATTGCAAATGTAACTGTTTAGGGTTATTTGGTTGTGAAGGTAARACYAACAGACGACTACGTTCTTTACATTCTAAACAGTTACGCACAGCATTTGTGCATACTAATCGCAGACACTGTCGTAGTATTCCACCACTTGACATGTTTTTTTCTGTTTCTAATTCAGAGAAATTGAGAGAACTAGCAAATACTAACACATCAGCCATGTTGACTAATCTTTGAAGTAGGGATGCAGCCACTTCAACTGTCATTCCTTGAGTAGGTTCCATAATATCTAACTCACTCTGGAATTATAATAAAATTAACAAAATACCATCTAAGACAGTAAGATAATAATTCACTTACATTAGGCGATGTGGCGGACGCAAGCAATGGTAATAGTCCACCACACGCTATGATCAGGTTATCTGACAACTGTGAGATCAAATGTACAGTATTGACCACAAAAATTGCATTCTCGGCCCCATTAACAAAATCCAAAACTGATTTGGTCGAGTGGCTGTAAATAAAATAAATCAATTACTTGTTCAAGCTGTGTTTCAATAGAATAATTTGTTACCCTCTCCAGACTTGAATATTGGATTCAAGTGAATAGAGCACATCTGATAATAATCTTTGATGAATGTAAGACCATTTGAATTCTGGAATTCTAAAGGGAGGTCTGGATGGACCTGGATTAAACATTGGTCTGGTGTCTATATTTGGAGCAACTGGTTTTTTCTCAGTCTTTTTATTTTTTTTGTCTTCAACTCCATTTACTGAAGTAGATTCTAAAAATAAAATAATGTAATATAGGTGCTTATATCAGGTCATAAGTATTAGAAATTATATTTATGTAATCATTATGATCAAGATTTGAATGATAAATGTAAAATTTGGGAAGTCCCAGCTAGTGAGCAAGAGTAGTGACTATTTTGTTATATCAATAACATCTTTATTTATCTATAGTGAATAGATTAATAAATGTTGTGTTTGAGACTAACACCAAAAAAAACAAAACAAATTAGTGAATGGGTGTTACATTAAAATCACATTTAATTCATAAATTTCATATTTTCACCTCCTTAAGAAATGTTAAAAAAGTATTTGGGTCACTTTATATGGACATATTGGCAGTCAAAATGCATTTTTATAATTTTAAAGATCATTTTCGGATAG